CTTTGTTCCCTCATAGAGCGCACAAACGTCCGACCATAGTGCATGCGCGTCTTTGTGGTTCCTCACCCGGTTGAACACATCTTTGCAAAGGCCTATAAAGATGGTGTTTCGAGCCTTTGCATTTCATTTTTCATAATTCACCTCATTGCCTTGTAGGTGTGTAGCATCCTTAGGTTTTGGGAAGTCTTGTGAGGCGGCTCTAAGTATTCCAACATCTAGAGCTTCTATGTACGCCTCCATGCGGATTTTCCAATAAGAAAAATCATCCCCCTCAAAGATAGGAGGAGGTCTATCCCCATGAGATATCTTTCTCTAGGCGGTTAAACCTAAATACGTGAGCATGAGGCTCCGATACCAATTGAAAGGATCAAGATGTCCAAGAGAGGGGGTGAATTGAGCTAATTCTAAATTTCTTTGCAATAATTAAATCATACGGTTAGCCCAATTAACCCCTTGTGCCTAGAAAATGTTTCTATTGATCTATCGCACAAAGAGTCTTGTAACCTAAGTTCCAATCCTACTCTAGCATGGCAATTCTATGAATGTAAATGACAAGAATTGAATTGCTCAAAGTAAATGCTTAAAGTAAAGAGAGAAGGAGGAACGCGGCGATATTTTGCCGAGGTATAGGAGAGTCGTCACTCCCCACTAGTCCTCGTTGCAGCACCCGCGTAAGGGTGTAGCTCCCCCTTGATCCGCGTAAGGATGAAGTGCTCTCTACGGGTTGATTCTTTGACACTCCGTCGCGGTGAATCACCCACAACCGCTCACAACTTGAGTTGGGTCATCCACAAGCTCCACCGAATGATCACCAAGCTCCCAATCACCACCAAGCCATCTAGGTGATGGCGATCACCAAGAGTAACAAGCACGAACTCTCACTTGACCACGACAAGCCTAATGAGAAGGGTGGATGCACACTTTGCTACTCTTGATCTCACTAATGAGGGCTCTCTTTGGGATTCTCAAATCTCAATCACCTCACTAGGACCTTGCTCTTCTTGGCACTGTCAAAGGTGTTTCTCAACTGTTGGAATGAGCAAAAGTACCCCCACACACGAATGGATGTGGTATTTATAACACCGGCTGAAAAATGAACCGTTATGTGCCTCTTCGGGGTGACCGGACGCTTTGGTCATGTTGACCGGATGCTCCGATCAGTTCACCCCAAACTCCAATGTTTAAAGTGTGACAGGACGCTGGCCAGCGTCTGGTCGTGATTTTCCCTCTCTGGAACCTTACTGGAGTCGACCAGACGCTGGCCCTTAGTGTCCGGTCACTTCACCTCTCAGCGTCCGGTCACGCCAGATGAAAACACCTTGGTCAAATGAACTGACCGGACTCTGTGCCAGCGTCCGGTCACACCGGAACCAGCGTCCGGTCAGTATTTGACCCTCCATTCACTTCCAACTCTCGATCATACATGAATGAAGTTTGCTTCATTGGATCTAAGGGCTATTTTAGAGCTATCTAGTACTAGATTTAGCAAATGTGCACCACACCTAACTCACTAGACCCACCTAGGTCAAGCTATCCGCCCATACCCCCCTTAATAGTATGGCTAAAGGAAAAACAAAGTCCTAAACTATTCTAAGTGTCTCTTCAACTTCAAACGACACTTAGAACTAGTCCCTCCTTAACCTTGTCGTCTATCCTTTAAAAACCAAATGATTTGCATCGTAGGGGCATGACCACCATGATTGCCCAGTCGATCTCCATTACCATGACCTAACTTAATTGCCTCTACAAAACACACGTTAGTCATAGTAATCATGTATTGTCATTAATCACCGAAACCCAACTAGGCGTCTACATGCTTTCACATTGAAATTGTAACATTCAATATTCAAGAAGAGAAGCACTACTACAACATTCAAGCGGGGTATCAGCATGCTGCAAAAAAATATTTGAATCACAAGGAATCTGATAGAGGAGGGGAAGCTTGCATGGGTCAGACGAGAAGAGAAGCACTAGGCGTGATGGGCTATTATGTGGGCTGAGCATGCCAGAGCTGTAGTTGTTGCTTGCTCGACTGGAGCCACGAAAGGGGGAGCCACCCCTGTGATGCCGATAGAGAGGGGAAGGTTGAAGTAGCTAGATTAGGGGCCGCACCGCCACTAAGGGCTGCCGAGCACGCGGGTTTGGCCAGGCTATCGCCGGGGGCCGCGGAGCTCGATGGCCTAGCCGCACCTTATCGAGCTAGGGAGGAGGAAAGGGTGTACCTTGTCGATCTGCTCGCTCCTCATCCCGCTCGATTTGCTCGCCCCTCATCTCGCTCGAGGCTCCTCCTGCCTGCTGACCGAATCTGAGGGGGTACCACCGCCGCCGGTGCCGCTGCGGGGTGGCCACGCCATCGCCCCTACACCTTGCCGCGCCTATTCTGGGAGTCGCCGCAGGTGCCGGTGGCGCGATGGGACATGCCAGACCTAATGGCAAAACATAGAACCCTAGCGTCTGATGCTGAACCTTCCCAGCCAGTGGAAACATAAACGAAGTTCAGGTCAAAGTCACATGCAAGCATCACATTTTGAGAAAGAGTTCCTTTTCTATTCCGATACGGTCCTGCTTTACTTGCACTGATTGTGATTCGAACATGAGTTCCATCTATCACTCCTAAGCAGTTCTGCAAGGGAGAGAAGAGGTGTTATTTGTAATTAGTATATATGTAAGAAAAATGTAAGAATTTTGAAACAGTACATATATTTGTTATATGTACCTGAAAGTAAGGTGCAAAATGTGGATTGATCGATATTTTCTAATGGGTCTCAGATGATGGGGGCTTCACAAAATCAAAAGCCAATAAAGAGATTGCATCAAAGGCTACTGCGATATGTCTATGTATTGTCTATCCACTGTGCTGAAACCTATCACACAATGCAGTAAAACTTGCATTTCGCGCAAGCATGTACATGAACATTGCTAGTTGTTCTTCTACAGTAACCCCTCTTGTACTCTTTAAAAGCCCTCTTGAACTAAGGTAATCTGCAAGTGCTTTGAAAATCCATGGCTCCATACGCGATGTGGATGGCCCTCAAGAAGTTCACGTGTATATTCTGAACCACTAAGCTTTGAAGTGTAACATGGAGTTCTTGTTCTAGTTCTGATAGAAGCTAAATATAGCGCCAGGAAAATAAGCATCATCATTTTATCTTCTTCTTCTTCCTCAGATATAGTTTCAACCCTTTTATTATAATCCATATCCACCGACTGGACATATCTATCTGAATTACCTAACGAACCAGGCCATGATAATTAAGAAAAGGGAACATTGCAAAGCAAAGCATGACCAAACAACCTATATGTAGCACACTGCACACTTCCTCTAAAGTTATACACGTGAATGCAAAAACAATAAGAATGCAGGCTGCAGTGTTATCCTAGGCTAGTGCGGCTCTACACAAAATGTACAAGTACTACCTCCGTTTCCGTTTTCAAATATATGACGTTTATAACAAGCTAATTACTTCATAATATATATCTGAAAAATAAAAATGGAGGGCAGGAGGGGACAGTGAGCTACTTCATAATATATGTATCTTAGATATGTCGTGTGCACTTACACTCTAGATCAGTTTCTTTCCCTTCCACCTCTTCTAATCGCATATATGTATATGCAGTCATGCACGCACACTGCAGATGCCTTGCACACACGTTGCTTCAATTTGTTCTTCTCATGAGAAGCTGCATGCTTCTGTCAGGACCAAAATACTCGGCGTCCATGCAGATACCTACCGAAGTCAACAATGTTTGATCGGAGTTCACATGTTCTTAATGCAGCAGCTACAAATCTAACGTACAGCAGCAATGCTATGGGAGCAGCTTTAGCATACATATCATCTACCAAACATATCTAAGATACATGTCTAATGCATAATCAGTCGATTGGTCCTAATTATTCAACCGTGCATTGGGAAAACATACAGAGCTGCCATGGAAACATACAGAGCTGAATTATTCAACTTTAATTTGGTTTCAATTTCAACCGTGCCATTTCACTCCTTATTCAGATAGGTTTCACACATAATCAGCAAGTGCAAGCAAAGAAGCATGTGCAACACATCCAGATTAGCTCCTCATTTAGATAGGTTTCACACATCCAGCATCCAACGCAAGAAGAGATGGGGATTATGAGAGGAAGGTACCTGCCACGCGGCCGTCCTAGCCCCCACGCGATGCAGCTAGGGCCCGCCGTGCCCGCGCATCTGGCCGCGCCGAGGCCGAGCTCGCAAAGTTTCGCTGGAGATGGGAGGCCGCCGTGAGAGGGAGCGCCACCGGCGAGGGAGGAGCGCCGCCGTCGCCGGCGAGGAAGGAGCACCACCGTCGCCAGCAAGGGAGGAGCGTCGCTGCGGCCGGGAGGGACGAGCGCCGTCGGCCGTCAAGGGGAGGGAGCGTCGTCGGGCGTCGGGTCACGAGAGACGAGGAGAGATTTTTCTTTTTTTATTAGCCGCGGTATCGCAGGGGTAGGGGTGGGTAGACGGACGAACCAAAATAAATATCGCAGGGGTCGATGCATGATTATTGTTTTCTTCCATGCATGTGGCCTCAGGTGATCGATTTGTTTCCTTCAAAGCAGGCGGGGATCCTTTGAAGAACATCAACGTACCTCCCTTCCAGAGCAGCATGATTTCGATGCATGATTATTGTTTCCTTCCATGCATGTGGCCTCAGGTGATCGATTTGTTTCCTTCAAAGTAGGCGGGTATCGCAGGTGTGGGCAGACGGACGAACCAAAACAAATGTCGCACCTAAAAAAATATCCACGTTTTGTTCTTTTTAGTTGTAGGAGATGAGTAATGACTAATCGTTTGACGACCTACACAGCTGAGGTTTAGTACGTTAATGAGTAATGACTAATAAAGCGTTTCACGTTGTTGAAACTTCTGGCGCTGTTAAACGTGTTTGATTGCTCGTAGGAGTTTCAGGAGTAACTCTCCTGAGCGCGCAACTATAAATTTCAACTTGTTCCATACCATTCTGTTCTCTGGCCCCTTCTCTTCTCCATGGAGCCTAGGGAAGGCGTCTTGGAACTCCTGTTGGTCAGCGCCGAGGGCCTCAAGCATGCTCATCATCACCCGCGACGTCTGTGACAACAACCACCCTGCAGTTTTCAGATTCAGAAGTTGAATTTCTTATGAGCACATTATGATTAGACTCATCGCGCAGCTGATCTTCTTGTTTCCAGGATCAAAAAGACATTACGTGACCATTGAGTGCGGGGACAAAATTGTGACGAGCAAAATCACACAAGGTATGAACCATTTTGATGATACTAACATATAATAGGTGCGTTAATTCTAGTTGATATTTTACTTGCCAAAAATGATCAGTTGAGTGGCCGATGAGTTCTCTTAGAGCTGGCAATGGTGATTTACTGATTTGCTGCAGGTAGGGGTAAAAAGATTTGGTGGAACGAGAAGTTCAGGTTCGCACTGACAGACGCCGAACGCAAGGAGCTGGAGAAGGTGACGCTGACGATCATGGAGATGGACAAATTCACAGAAGACACCGCCGTCGGCGAAACCAGGTACGCCGAGCACACAGCTAACACGACGACGAGCTCGGAATTCGCGACCGCTTGCAACAACTGCATATACATAAACATCGCTCAGGAACACGTTGACGCTTAATTTGCAGGGTGTACGTCGGCGAGATCATCAGCGAGGGCAGCGAGCTGGAGTTCCTGCAGATGAAGCCGGCGGCGTACAACATCGTGCTCGAGGACGGCACATACAAGGGCGTGCTCAAGCTGGGCCTCAAGTTCATCTCCAGCGTAAGCACGCACGCACACGATGAGTACACTCGTTTGACTTTCAGATTTCACCCCCATCGATGTGATACGGCACCTGAACTCGTCCATCGCGACAAATAAAATGCAGGTTAGCCTGGAGCAGTCGAGAGACTGCGTGCGGTGCCCTGCGCCGGCGACGAAGCAGACGAGCGCCGCCGGGTACGGGCTGTTTCTCAACTTCGCGCTGCCGAGCATCCCGTGGAGGAGGCTCTTCTTCTTCTGCAGTCGCTGGGCCTGGAACCATGGACAAGCGCCGAGAAAGAGGTGTGAAGACTGAAAACCCGGCGCTGTGAGACACGGAGATAGATGTTCGTCAGGTGTTGTGACATAGCATGCCGTGAAGTTGCAAAAGTTATGACGCTGCGCGTTTGCTTATGGTGGCGGGTGGTCTCGCATTTGTTGGTGTCGGTGCCAGATTGAACTGTGGGTCAATGCGATTTTTGGATTTGTTAATAGGGCTGACAAATGCTTTAGTCTGGTGCCATCAAAGTGTACCAAAAAGGTTGGCTTCAATACCGAGGATTAACGTTTTTTGTTTTCTTGGGGAAATCTGTACGTGTGTCTTGTTCATTTGACAGGATGCAGCACAGATACAAAAACATGTGTACATACACAAAATAAAAGAAAGAAATTCATTCAGCAAAAATAAGAGAGGAGCAATAGCTGCTGCTAATCTCATTCAGTAATCAGGCATGGGGGAATGGATCTATTTGATTTCTGAAACATCTCTCTGGGTGGAACGGTAAAAAATACCTCTTCTTGCGCTATTACAAATTTACGATTTACGATACAATCGGAAACTGTCTATACAACACTAGAGCGCTAAATCGTGAACGATCACCCAATTCGTTTCCAGCGATCAAATCTGACATGTGCACCAGTTTCCTTTTCCAGAAAAAGGAATTCCCCACCTCTTTTCCTTTTCGCACGCGGAAAGGAACGTAAACATGGAGTAGGTTTGTTTACATTGGTTTGCTTCCTTTTACGCATGCACGTGCTTCGTTGATTTGCTTCCTTTTTATTACGTGCCCATTTGGGTGGTGGTAATTAAATAAAATATATTTTTATAAGTTACAATGTTTTTATGTTGTCTAGTCGACTCTGGTCGTCATAGGACCGACTAAACGATTAATCGCGATTAGTCGTCGACTAGGATGACTAGTCGAGTCTGCACACCTACCATCATTGGAGGAAGAGCTCATCTTCATGAGCTAGGGGGAGTAGAGGCGCAGAGCCAGGGAAGAGCTTCACCAAGAGGGGCGTGCTGGCTGGGGAAGAGAAGCAAAGAAGAGAGAAAGAGCAGAGCAGCAGCAGCCGTCACGCACAGGAGCAAAGAAGAGAGAAAGACCAGAGCAGAGAATGAGAGGTGGGAACCCTAGAGACTTAGTCTCCTGTATATATATTACAGACCCTAGTGGGCCAAATTGGCAGCCCAACTACTCACATTGAAGCCCAGTCAGGCAAGCCCAAAGAAGGCAGTGCCCAGCCTGGTCGTGCAGCCCCCTAGTCGGACGACCAGGTTTCTAATCGAGCTAATCGAGTCGAAATCTCTAATCGAGGTCATGGTACCGATCAGACCGACTAATCGTGATTAATCAAACGACTTGTAAACATTGATAAATTAGATGGCATGCATGTAAAAGTTAGATGAAAACTTATATTACAAGCCAACATTAATAACTTATATTATAATAACTTATAAGTTAGATGAACAAATTTATATGTACAAGTTAGTATTGATAACTTATATTATAATAACTTGTTTGTATAAACGTATAAGTTAGATAAATAAACTTATATATACATGTCAACATTGATAACTTATATATATAATAACTTGTTTGTATAACTTATAAGTTAGATGAATTAATGTTGGTCGTACAAGTCAGTTCAACTATGTATTATAATAACTTGTTTGTATAACTTAGATATCAACACCTAACTTGATGAATGACTTGGACCTTTAAGTTGAACACCCCATTATATTCAAAAACTTAGATGTAGAAATTAACATCATAACAACAACGCGATTGGTCTTCATGAATGGCGAAAATAACTATGAGGAGTAGAATTTACGCCATGTGTAAAACTAAAAATGGTTATTTTCAAAAGGAAGAAAAAAAATAAATGATCTTTGTGCCTAACTGGTGCTGACAATCAATTAGGGACGGAGGGAGTATAAGTTAGATGAATAAACTTATATGTACAAGTCAATATCAATAACTTTTATTATAATAACTTGTTTGTATAACTTAGATATATAACTTGATGAATGACTTGGATGTAAAGTTGAACACAAAAGTTATATTCAAAAACTTAGATGTAGAAATTAATTGTTTTCTTTGTAGCTTTTTCCTCCTCCCCGCCGCCGGCAACCTCCTTTTTTCCCATTCCCCGCCCTCGCTCCGACCTGGCCCTTCCGCCCACTCAGTTGCCGTCACCGCCGCCTCGGCCTGGCTGCCATCTCTCCCATCTCCACCGCCTGGTTTGGTTGCCGGAAAAAAAAAATCTTCTAAACCGTCGGAGATGGAGAAGAAGAGAGGGAGAGGGAAAAGAGAGAGAGGAGAGAGTGTTCCAATATCAAGGTTGGATAGCATTTCTCTACTGTTTACGACCTGAGTCCTAAGCCGTCCGATGTTACGGCAAGCACGTGCTGGGACGTGTAGGGAAGAACCGAACACAAACGGAGGGACCCTGACCCACCGATTGCGCCGCCGGCCTCGATTCCTCGAAAGAGCTGGAGAACAGCAGAGCAAGAAGAGACACGGAGATGGAGATGCTGCGGACGCGAGACCAGGCTCCCACGACGGCATAAACCTCTCTGCCATTAGAGTAGGAGGGGGAAGGAGGAGAAGCAGAGCGCCGACCTTCTCCTCCTCGCCCCCCATGAAGCGCGGCCCGCGACCGACAGGAGGTGGCTCGCTGTCATCTCGAGGTAAAGCACCCTCCGATCCCAACTCGAATGGTCGCACGCGTCCGAGTGCCCACTCGTATCGAATCGGATGATATTGGTAGCTCGCGTATGCTGTGGGATGAGGCGCTCAGGGACTGGGAGCTTGCTCTTCGTCTCGCGCACACGCGGTGTTCGGAGAAATGCCCCGTATAGCAGAGTAGCTGGCATTCGGACTTTCCGTGAATTGTTCTCTGTTTATCTGAGCCTTCAGATCCTGGTCATCCTATTCCAGCAACTGGATTGCTTCTGCTTGCTCGGCTGTTTTTGTAGATTGCTGATGCTCATGAGATTCGGTCTTACTAGGGTAGGGTGCTACTGTCGGATACTACGTGCTAGCTATATTCTCTGTTTGGTAGCTACTGAAATGACTCAGCTTCTAGAGAATTACTTCAGTGAGCTAAATACTCTGTTCATTATTGCTTCCTGCAGATCTCAAGCAGCCGATTAGTTGGACTTTTTTTTTATATACTTATTACTACCTTGCAATCTAGTAAAAGATGAACTCGACATGCCGAGCTTCAAAAGCGGCAAAGTCAACAATCAATTACCACAGGTTTTCATTAGATGAGCACCACTTATTTGAGCCAGATGCTTTGATTACTAAGGAGCGAGATGCCAATCATCAATCAAGCCAAAGTTCTCAATCTTGCAGAACATATGCTTGCAGAAGATTGACCACTCCCCAGTTTGTATCTGCATTGGCTGGAATCTGGAATCTTGTTGGCCAGCCTGAATCATCTGGCACAACTCAAAGATCTGAGATTCATGGGACTTCGAGTAGGGAAGACCATGTGTGCTTTAGCAGGGATCAACAAGGAAATATACTGACACCTTGCTATGTGGAAAGCTCAAGTGGTCTGAGATCTCAAAACTGTTTGTCTACACCTAAACAAATTTATGAGGATCTTATTTCGGTAAAAAAGATGTTGACGCTGACACCATTCAATAGCGTTATTGGTGCATCATCCACATGGAGGCATATGTCCACAAATAAGGTTGGAGGTGCACATTATTTGCACTGTGGAAATATATACTCTATGCTAACTGAAAAGATTGGGACTTCTCAGAGTAGCAAAAGAAGCATGTGTGAGGAAACTTATGCTTGTTCCACCAATATGGACATTAGGGACGATAACTATTTGAATCAAACAAGAAGCACGCCTGACGAGCTATTTACTATCTCAAATGAAGAAGCTAGCAGTACACATGACCGTGAAAGTTCTCAACACAATACTGAATGTAATCTAGAAATTTTCCAAGAAGAAAATATTTTTTTAGCTTGCCCAGTGCACGAAATGGAAATTGGCAAAGACACGAGGATAATGCCAGGAAATCAGGTTTTCAGTAAGGCATGCACAGATGTTCAGCTTCACGAATCGAAACACATGTCTTGTCTGGTGGGTGATACTGTTGTCCTCAATTCAGAAAATGCAGATGAACGTGCTTGTAGAGATGATGTGTGTCTGCAGCTTTCTGTAGACAAGTGTTCACAAGAGCTCCAACCAACTTTTCAGCATCGATTTGATGGTGCTGTTACCGTAAACAGGCATGCTGTGGCAGGAGCATTAGCTGGGACAGCAGTCAGTGTTTCTTTGCATCCAATTGATACTGTGAAAACGATAATTCAGGGTAACAGTTGTGGACAAAGTTCAGTCTACCATACACTAAGGCGCACCCTTGTTGAGAGAGGTAATGCTCTATAAGAGCAATTTCCACAACTTAAATTTTCTTTCCAATTTCCATGTATCGTTACCCTTTGAGAACTATAATTTCCTATATTAATTTAGTGCTTGATGATTTGCAAAGGCGTTCTGGGGCTATATGGAGGACTTGCTAGCAAACTTGCTTGTTCTGCGCCAATTTCTGCAATTTATACTTTAACTTATGAAACAGTCAAGGGGGCTCTTCTGCCTGTTTTTCCAAAGGTAATTTCAGTTTGGTTTTTATGCTGAAATTTTTGTCGTCGTTACATGGTATATCCTTCGGTCTTCTATGTGCTGTTACATTGAGTGATTGAGATCTCTACAGGAATATCATTCAATTGCGCATTGTGCTGCCGGTGGCTGTTCTAGTATTGCAACATCCTTTGTTTTTACACCCAGTGAATGCATAAAACAACAAATGCAAGTGGGTTCCCATTATCAGAACTGCTGGTATTCAATTTCAGATTTTCCTTGCCTCTTTTTGGGTTGTTCATTCGTTTATTTCCTGTATTTAAAAGCTTCATTTCCTAGCATAACAAATAGCAAGATAGACACAAATCTACTAGTTTCATGGCATGATTAATGCCTGAGTAGGATATCTTCAAACGAATGCTTCAGTAGGATGTCGTCTTTTCATCATCCTCTAATAAGAGTTTCATGCCATCAGGAATGCTTTAGTAGGATGCCTCAAAAAGGGTGGCATTGCTTCATTATATGCTGGATGGGGTGCTGTTCTTTGCAGAAATATCCCACATTCCATAGTAAAGGTACCAAAATTGAAGTACTTGCATTCAAGTCCAATAATTCAAAATTTTCTTTAATTTTTGGTGTTTAAAGAACATGATCCCTTTTTTGAATTTTGTAGTTTTATGCCTATGAGAGTCTGAAGCAGTCTCTGTTGAAATCAGCACCTGATAGTGCCAAACTCAATTCTGGCCAAACGGTTAGTTTTTGAACCCTAGTACCTTACCTTGTTAAAGCATCATTCATTCATTCTTATACCCATGACCTGAAGTAGAAGTGTAGAACCCATGGGCACTTCTAATACTATCCTGCATTGTTTGCCAATGCTTCGAACAGAAAAAAAATGATGATTAACCTCTCCTTAGCATCTGCATCTCAAATACAACAGATAAAACCAACCTTGCACCCCTTTGGTTCATTGCAGCTTTTATGCGGAGGTTTTGCTGGGTCAACTGCTGCTCTCTGTACAACTCCATTTGATGTTGTCAAGACACGAGTGCAATTACAGGTACTGTGATACGTGCATATGCCTTATTGACTTTGAATGGTGACATTTATTGTATATTGTTGACTATTTTTATAATAGAATTATAATCATGGACAACTAGCGTAAGTTCAACAATAGACTAATGTTCCCAACAGAGCTAATACTTCAGCTTTCTTTCTGTTAATAACCAGGCACTCAGCCCTGTTAGCAAGTATGATGGGGTGGTTCATGCACTAAAAGAAATTTTCCGGCATGAAGGCTTGTGTGGTCTTTACAGGTACAAAGATTTGCCAGAGGCATACCAATCTAGTTAATTTCAATTATTATTCATTCCTGTCTGAAAAAGACCCTATTGTAAGTACGCAAATTATCAAGTGACATGTTTTCTCACAGGGGTTTGACTCCAAGGCTGGCTATGTATATGTCTCAAGGTGCTATATTCTTTACGTCCTATGAGTTTCTCAATACATTGATGTTTCCTGAACCCGAAAAAGAGGTTCCTGCGAGGAGCTTTTGATCGTGAAATGAGAAGATGGCGCAGCAACACTGCAAGTACAGAACTGGTATCGGTATGCGGATCTGGGATAGTCTGACTTGTGAGGGGTTTAGTTGAAGTTACCGCACAATCCAATTTTTGGGTGCTGTTAACAAAATTGTGCATTAGGATTGCATAATACATCTTTTCGGTAATCTCAGATCGAGCTAGGCGATAGAGAATTTTGTACTATCAGCAAAGGTAAAGGTGATTGGTACTTCCCTTCGGGCTTCGGGGAGCTTGGTTTTTGAGGGGTTTAGTTGAAGTTACCGCAGAATCCAATTTTTGGGTGCTGTTAACAAAGTTGTGTACTGCAGAATGCAGTACATCTTTTGGGTAATCTCAGATCGAGCTAGGCGATAGAAAATTTTGTACTATCAGTAAAAAGGTAAAGGTGATTGGTTTCCCTTCGGGCTTCGGTGAACCAGTTTTGTATTTTAGTGTTCGGCTGGTAGGTAGGGGCACTGTGTAGCGGATGGTTTCAGATGATTCAATTGTGTTATGTGAGAGAGAATAAACTGAAACAAGCCAAGACAAGAACAGCCGAACAGGCCTACATAGAAACAATGGCCAGTTTTGTATCCTGTTTGCTCAGTATCCACATGTATATGCATGCATGGCCCGGGGAATCTGGCACTAAGCAACTTGGGAGGCAGTTTTGTATTTATATGTAGGCGATAGTTTAGTCTTATGATGGTACTTCGTGTAGTAGGTTAGTAGGTACATACTTCGTGTAGCCGTGTAGGTGTAGGTACATGTGTGCATACTTTGAGTAAAAATTATACATGTAACCCATATCCTCGCCGCCTATTTCATCTCGCATCCTCGCCGCCGCCGGAAGTCCGCGCGAATGCAAGGAAGGCGGCTGCGAGGCTCTTCGGCTGCCCCTTGCCCCCATGGCTCTTCATGCCGGAGACTTGCGCCGGCCGGGGCGAAGGATTCGATGGTGCCTCCGCCTGCCCCGGCAAGCCGGCGAGCTGCGCGAGGGCGTACCTGGCCAGGAAGTCGGGCTCGCACTCGCAGACTTTGCCGTCGTCGAAGTTCTGGGAGTAGCTGAGCGGGTCGTAGTTGAGGCCGCCGGCGCCGAGGACGTACGTTCGGTAGCCCCGGCGTGTCCAGGTCATGCGCCTGAGCCTGCGCCACAGCACCGCCACGCCGAACCGGCCCCAGCAGGACGTGACGGCCGCGGTCGTGCGGCCACACGCGTCCTCCATCGTTGCCTCCTTCCGGTGGTCCTGCTACTTCCCCACAGCGGGGAGCGTGTCCGAGTGGGCGCTACACGCACGGCGTCGCCGGCTACCAGTCCTCGCGCCCGCCAGGGAGGATGCCAGCGTTGAGCCGTCCGTCGCGTGGCGTGGCTCCCTGTGTGTGGGAGAGATCTGTGCGACTGTGCCGTGCCGGGCATGTGGCCCGTGCTCGTTTCGCGCAGAGGGATCGTTGCAATGAGAGCCCAGCTACTACTACAAGGGTGCTCAGCCGTCATGGACTCCACGCAGAACCACATCAAATTCTTCGGCGCACTACAACATAGACGCAGAATTGCATTTTTTTTTATCTCGATTCATGATGTAACATTTGTGGCGCCGCGCGCATTGGTGTTTCAGAACAGCACAAGCGTGAAATGGACGGTTTTTCTCCCCCTATTTCTGGAGACACGAAAAACATTTCCACGAGAGACAGGCATTCCTACCTGCTTAATCGGTTACGGCGGCACGAGTTCGTCTGATTACGCCGTTTCCAAAAATGGCCCAGTCCAGTTGCAACTGCCAACCGCTCAGAACGTTGAAGCAGAGTTTCAACTGGGCTTCAGCGGGCTACAGATGAACTGGACCTACCTGTGCAAACAGTCAAACTTCTTCAACTGAACAACCTACGAGCTCAACTGCTTGACCAGCTCAGTTTTAGCCCAGGAGTGGCAACGCTTGTTCGCCACCGAACTGCCCCGGCACGTATATATCTCGGCTCCTTCTCCTCCCTTCCCCACATGAATCTCCACGTCCACTCCAGCGACATTGTGAATTGCACACTCTCCATCTCAAATGGATTCCTCAAGAATCGCTCTCCTGCTCGTGCTCTCCTCCAAGCTGCTTCTCGCGGCAACCGCGTTGCACGACGACGACGACGACACCCTGACGCTGCCGCGGCTGCCAGGTGGCCAGCACGAAGCGGTGTGGAACACGAGCAACATGGGAGAAGGGGTCGTCATCGGGGTGCTCGACGACGGCATCGACGCGGGGCACCCGTCGTTCGGCGACGAGGGGATGCCGCCGCCGCCGGCCAGGTGGCGGGGCCGGTGCAAGCACGCGGGCGTCGCGTTGTGCAACAACAAGCTCGTCGGCGCGAGGGACTTCACGCGGCACCTGCGTCGACCCGGCACGGCGCCCAGGGCGGGCACGCACGGGATGCACGCGTCCAGCGTTGCGGCCGGCGCGTTCGTGCGCCGACCGGGCGGCGGCGGAGCGCCTGGCGCCCCCGTGGTGGCGGTGTCCGGCGTGGGCCGCGCGCGCACCTCGCGTTCTACCAGGCGTGCGCGGGCGCGGCGCGCGGGTGCTCCAGGGGCTCGGTCGTGCACGCCGTCGAGGCGGCGCTTGCCGACGGCGTCGACGTGCTCTCGCTGTCGCTCGGGGACGACGACGGCCTCGGCTTCCACGAGGACCCGGTAGCTGCGGCCACGTTCTCGGCTGTCGTGATGGGCGTCTTCGTCTGCGCCGCGGCGGGCAACAAGGGACGCACGCCTGGGTCGGTCGCAAACGACACGCCGTGGATACTCACGGTCGGCGCAAGCTCACAGTCACAGGCCACAGCAGGGCGGCACTCCTCATTCCGCCACCATCCCGGCGTTCTCCTCGCGGGGGCCGAGCCGCAACAACGGCGGCGTGCTGAAGCCGGACATCGTGGGTCCCGTCGTCGACATCCTTGCGGCGGTGCCACGGTCGGCGCGCGGCCCGAGCTTCGCGTCGCTCTCCGGCACGTCCATGGCGGCGCCGCATCTCAGCGGGGTCGCGGCGCTGATAAAACGCGCCCACCCAACCTGGTCCCCCGCGGCCATCAAGTCCGCGATAATGACCACGGCCGACGCGTCGCTCACGGACGCGACAGGCACGCCGGCGAGCTACTTCGCCATGGGCGCCGGCCTCGTCGACGCGGCCAAAGCCATCGACCCGGGCCTAGTGTACGACACCTCGCCGGAAGAGTACATCCCTTACCTCTGCGGGCTGGGCTACACCGACGAGCAAGTGAACCATCTACCCTGCACCCGCGGTCCATTGCGCCGAGATGGAGAACACCGAGGCGAAAGATCTCAACGCCCCGTCGATCATGGTCGCGCTGACGGTGGACGGGCCGGCCGTGACGGTTATACGGAAGGTGACCAACGTCGGAGCGGCCAGGTCGGTGTACCGGGTGGACGTGAGTGCACCGGACGGGGTCTCCATCACGGTGGTTCCTGGAGAACTGCAGTTCGACGAGGTGAACCAAGAGGCGAGTTTTGTCGTCACCATGGAAAGGGCTCCAGGAAGCGCGTTGGAGTCTCAAATTTTGGGCGCGCAGCTCGCGTGGGTGTCAGAAGATCATGTCGTGCGTAGTCCGATATCCATCTCTGCTTAGTTCTGATGGACGCTTCAATGAGTAGTTAAATGTGATCAAAATTAGAGAAATTATAGGTATTGATGTATTTTTTTAATAAATGTGATCAAAATTAGAGAAATTTGACTTGGAAAAATGTTAGTGTGAATTATAATTTAGAGTGGAGAAATACATGACACAAGGCTAGCGAGATCTGACAGTCTTTCTTTTTGAGGCATGTGCCCTGATTAATTGCGTATTATGATTTTATTAGGGACTGTTTGATTGGACCCTGTCAAAATTGGATGCTTGGTTTGACTGGCTCACAACCAAACAAGCCCTTAAGGCGTCATGACCAGCTGTGGGCCTAAACATAGAATTAATTAATCAAAGCAATTTTCTCCACCAGCGGCTTCTGGTTAGCCATTATTAGAGTAAAAAAGCTGTTTGCGTCCATCACGTATTGGCTTCCGCCGGCATCGTGCTAGCTCCGAACAAATTGATAGCGTCGGGGACCTAATACCGGATACCTGATGAGGTGGAACTAACGACCATCAAACGTTGACACTTTCGGTCAGATGAGAATGCTACTGCGCTTCTTGCCCGGAACGATGGAAGATTGGTTCCGCCTCGCCCGACGGCTAAGGCTTGACTTCGCCTCGCCCGACATCCGAGGGCTGGCTTCGCCTCGCCCGACGGCTGAGGACTGGTTCCGCCTCACTTGACCCCCGAGGGGTGGCTCCGCCTCGCCCGACCCTCGAGAGCAGGCCCCGCCTCGCCCGACGGCCGAGGGCAGCCTCTGCCTCGCCCGACGACCGAGGGCAGCCTCCGTCTCGCCCGACGATTGCACCTTGCTCCTTCATAATGACAGGCACGGGGTACGACAAGACGTTCGAGTCAAACACAGTACCAAGGACCATGCCCTGCACCACTGCAAGAAAGTATGGTCAGGATACGACGAGACGGGCGCTTTAGACCCTTCCATGCATGGCAGAGTTCGGAATAGTATTGTAGGCACCGGCTTTTGCCCTACAGTATTGTAGGCGCCGCCTTCAGCCCTCGAGCGCAAAACCTGACATGCACATACGACAACCATTGCGGTCGAAAAGGAGACCCGCGTCCTCTACAGTAACGAACGTGCAGTCACTGCGCCGTCCGCTCCCCGGAGGGTTGCGGATCGACACCCCAGTCCGACACGCCGCCCGTGGGGGCGAGACGGGACGTGACCACTTGCAGAGCATGGCATCATCAACGCACGCACGCCCGGCGAACGTGCCATCTCTAACACCGTCTAGCTGTGTCAGGAAGGATGGCTCAGAGGAAAAAGGAAGACCCAGCGCCTTCGGAGGGGCTTCTTGACCTCTGGTTTTTTTCTCCTTTCTCCGACATGTAAGCCCTGCTCCCCCTTGGTCTATAAAAGGGAGGGCAGGGCACCCCGCTAAGGGGGGGATCAACTCACATAGAGACCGATCAACACGACTCGACAGCATGCATCACACACAGCCAAGCTACCACCGGGCTCTTAGCATCCTTTCAACCATTCCATCAGAGACTTGGGACCAGTCCCTCTCTCGACCATTTGTACCCCTACTACGAACCTCTTTTGGTACTAATAACACAAGCAACAGCAGACTGGACGTAGGGACATTTGGCCCGAACCAGTATAAATCTTGTGTCCTTTAGTGCACCATCCGAGCCTAACGCGCATCAATTATAAATTTACTAGCCGGTGCTTGTTCGAAACACCGACAGTTGACGCGCCAGGTAGGGGCCTTTGCATGTTTCAAATCAGGCCTCGGATGGTTAACCACGCAATCAGTTGGGTCCCGGGCGCACACATGCGTTTCGGTGACCTAGACTTCATCGTCACGGTAGGAGAGTTGGTGTTGGCCCATCTCACCATCCAATCTCTCCCCTCCATTGGCTCCGACTACCGGAGGCTTGAGGGCCAGCCCGGCATCTCCCTTGGACCCCAGCCGTCCAGGAAGGCCCCGCGCCGCCTGACCCTCTCTCCAGAACGCTCCACACGGAGCGCCTCGATGACGGCGTTTTTGTTCGGTCTTCGCAACGCCGCGGTGACCGTAAGCCACCTTGTGGTCCAGCACGTGATCTCGTCCCCCGTGAACAACGAGTTCGTGGGGATGATCGAAAGCGTCACAGAATCTCTCCATGGCCTCCTCGCAGAGGGTCCAGGGTCGGACTCTGGCTCTGACTCCAGCGGGGGAGCCATCATCCATCCCGGGAATGCTTCATGGCGGAAACCTCCAAGGACACGTCGAATGCACCTCCGAGAAGGAGGTCACCCCGGCGGGCAACCCTGGCGATGGAACCGAAGGAAGAACGGTGGCCCCGTCCCACGTAGGGGTGGAGCAACTGAAAGCCCAAAAACGGGAGATCAACGAGGCCGGACAACAGCTTGTTCGGGAATACGCGTTGGTGGATCGGGAGATCGAACGCTGCGACGACGGTGGGCACGCACGCGCCGTAGCCCGCAACGTGAACCGAAGGATCATCGCCGATGATGAAACCCTTCCTCGCTTCGCTCGGGCAAGCCAGAACATCGCCGCCGCCACGGCCTTGCTCCATGGCCTTCTAGAGGCCGCAACGCCTAAGGATCGCCGGACCCACCGTGAAATCCGCACGCTGCTCGAGCGTGCGGCTGGCGCAGCAGGCGGAAAGCTCGTTGTCTCAACGACGCGAGCTCGACACCAGTCAGCGTACGCCCTCTGTGCGCCCCGCTAGGGACGCATCGGTCCACTAGATACCACCGAGCACCAGACAGCACACCGCTGTCCTGGTGCATCAACATCTCAGCCACAACCACGACGCACGCAACACCCTCGACGCCCGTAGGCGCACCTACGGCGACCCAAGGGAAGGAGCCCGCCGTGGCTATCATCCTCGCGCGGACGGGCGCTTCGATAGCGGTGAGACCCGAGGCGAGCCACGGCTGCGCGAGCCCTCAGCCGCCGGCGGCACATCCTCAACGCTACGTTCCTGCCAAGGTATCGACCACCTACCAACATCCCTAAGTACTTCGGGGAGACAAACCCTAGGCTTTGGCTTGAAGACTATTGGCTTGCCTGTCAAGCCGGTGGTGCGGATAATGATGACTTCATTATCCGCAACCTTCCACTGTTCATGGATGATTTGGCCCGAGCATGGTTGGAACACCTGCCGTCCAACACAATCCAGGGTTGGGCGGATCTAAAGGAGATCTTTGTGGGGAACTTCAGGGCACATACAAACGCCCTAGGAACCCATGGGACCTCAAGAACTGCCGTCAAAAGGCCGGTGAGACCCTTCGCGGGTACATCTAGCGCTTTTCCCGGTAGTGCAATGAACTCCCTAATGTCGCCGACGCTGACGTAATAGGAGCCTTCCTGTCTGGGACAACCTGTGAGTCCTTGGTGCATAAGCTGGGACGCAAGGGCCCGCGAACCACCAAGGAACTCCTGGGCATCGCCACCAGCCATGCCTCAGGAGAAGAGGCGGTTGGAGCGATCTTCGATAGCCTCGAGGGCAAGGCAAGGTGGGACGAGGGTACCGGCGAAGGCACCTCCAATCATTCCGCCAAGAGAAATAATAAGATGCAACGACACGAGGACTCGCTCGTGGCTGCTGCCAACCGCAAGGGTGGTCGGAAGCCCACGGAGGGCACTCCGAATCACTTCGAAAAAATGCTCGAAGGGCTGTGCCCGAACCACACCTTTCCCATAAAACATCTGCTCAAGGACTGCGGCCTCATGCGGAAGTTCTTGGCCGGAGGCGCCAATAAAGGGGAGCAGGGGAAGGAACCTGCCCCCGCTGCGAACGACGCCGAGGAGAAAGACGACACCTTTTCGATGCCCTATGGCTACCTTATGATCTTTGGAGGATCAGCGGCCTACGACTCCAAACGCCGTTAGAAGGTCGCGTGCCATGAGGTCAGAATCCGCCATAACCTTCGACCGGACCGACCATCCGGATACCGTCCCGCACCCAGGGAGGTATCCGCTTGTCGTCGACCCGATCGTCGGCCCAAAGCAGCGCACCAAAGTACTGATGGACGGAGGCAGCGGCCTCAACATCATGTATGCCAAGACGCTCGATGAGATGGGCGTCGACCGGACGAACCTCCGCCCAACCCGAGCACCTTTACACGACATTGTGCCCGGGAAATAGGCCATGCCACTGGGACAGATCGATCTGCCCATCACCTTTGGGGATCAGTTCAATTACAGGACCGAGACTCTCACCTTCGAGGTGGTTGGGTTCCTCGGAACCTTCCACGCCATCTTGGAACAGCCATGCTATGCGAAGTTCATGGCCGTCCCCAACTACACATACCTCAAGCTGAAGATGCCGGGCCCCCATGGGGTCATCACCGTCGGCACCTCCTTCCAGCGGGCCTACGAGTGCGAGGTGGAGTGCTGCGGCCACGCCACAGCAATCACCGCCTCCGACAAACTCGCCGCCCTCAAGGAGGAGGTCGCCGAAGAAGCGCCCAACGCGAAGAAATCAACTGGGTCATTCGAATCAGCAGAGGGCTCCAAGGAGGTCCTCATAGATCCTAGCAGCTCCAAGGGTAAAACGGTACACATCGGTACCACGCTCTCCTCCGAATAGGAAAGCGCGCTCGTCGACTTCCTCCGCGACAACAAAGACATCTTTGCGTGGAAACCCTTGGATATGCCAGGCATCCCGAGGGAGGTCGCCAAGCATACCTTAAAAATCCACCCGGGCTCCAAGCCGGTGAAGCAACGCTTGCGCCACTTCGATGAGGAAAAGCGCAGGGCCATCGGTGAAGAGATAACAAAACTGTTGGCCGCCGAATTTATCAGGGAAGTACACCACCCCAGTGGTTAGCAAATCTTGTTCTTGTACGAAAGAAGAGCGGGAAATGGAGGATGTGTGTTGACTATACGGGTCTCAATAAGGCATGCCCAAAGGACCCGTTTTCTGTGCCGCGCATAGACCAAATAGTCAATTCTACCTCAGAGTACGAAACCCTCTGCTTCCTTGATGCGTACTCCGGCTACCACCAAATCGTGATGTAAAGA